TGCGCGAACCTCTGAGTCTCACTGCGCACAGCCTACTGTCGAAAGGTATACAATCCAGGAGCGCGGTTTCAGCTTTCTACCCGAGAGCCACGCCAACGCCAGAAGCCACAGCCTCAGGGTCCCCCAGAGTGGCGTAAGTGAAACTTCACTGATGGTTTTGATGGGGACGTGAATTGGATAATGGAGCTGGAGTCTTGAATGTGAATTTTTTGGTCACAACACACATCGATGGCTATGGTCTCGAGCTTACGAGCTTAACAGGCCTGTTGTCCAATACGCATCAGATTGCGCACATAAAATGTGGCTAGTTTGAATGGACATCGAGGAGGATTCGGTGAAACTTGGAAGTTAGTCGAGAGAATAGGGGCAGGTTTGTATAACACCTAAATACTCCTGCGATTACTGGATGTGTAGTAGTTGACCGATCTCAAACATGCAACAGTCAGAATAAAACACTAGCTGAGTCCAGGTTTCATTGAACCACTTGGGGAGATTTGGTCAAACAACACCAATTAGTTTATGTGGAGATACCGATTCGAAAATGAGTGATTTGGCACAGTGAACACAACCAACCCATGAACGTGGGTAGCACTGAAGACGGCCATTTTTCAATACTGCAGGTAGTTTATTTTGATCCAAAAATCAGCTTGAGTCGGTCAAATGACATACATTAGAATAACCATAAACGCACACTTTGGGAAATGCACGAACTGATTTTAGCTGGAACATTTTCAGCAGATGGCACGTGTCACAGATTGCCGTTGACACGTCATTTTTTTGCAAGCACTGTGCACGATACGGATCAGCTGTCCAGAGGGGGGCAAAGATATTTATCATGAAAATGATCACCATCGATAAAAAGAAACAAAGCGGTTGAAAGTGGAAGCAGAAATGATGACAGTCAGTTCAAGGACGAGTGTTGTGAAGATACAAGAAGGGGTCAAGAATAACCAATATCCTATAGACACAAGCTGGTCACATATGATACGAAGAATCTGATCTGATCCGGTTTGAATAAATGCATTNNNGGGGGAGAATAATTATGAAATGTATAATATCACCGGGGATTGTATTTCTAGCGCACACATAAAATTGAGTAAAGATATACATATATACAGTTTTGGAAGTTCCCATAGACATTGCAGTTGAGTAATTGAAGTTTGCGAACGAAAGTTAATCCCGGTCATTGAGAGCAGACGAAGCAGTTGATTGCTGAGCAGTGAAAGAGATGTAAATTACATTAGCGCCGCGAATAAACAATTGTGCATGGTGCTTCACCTCCGTCTTTAATTGACACGGTGCGATGGATTGTTTTGCTGTTCCAGACTCTGATACCAGTCGTGACGAAGAGGAGGTGGTCTTTCTGAGAAGAGGGAAGTGAATGAACGCCTCGAATGACAGAATCACTGTATATTTGCAGGTTGTTTATGTAAGTCACGTAGTGTATGGTACGTATAAGAGGACGACCGGTGACTCATTTTGATGACAAGTGGTAGTTTACCAAGTACATCTCCTATTAAGCTTTAGTCAAAAACCTGCAATGCCCTAGCCACGACTCGTAGTCCTTTAACCTCGACGATTAAACTTTACTCATAACGCTGTGGGTGAGTCGGATCAAAAAGTATCGGACTATTCTGAGGCCAACCAACAATTCAAATAGAATAAGAGTGGCCAACAAGCTCGCTTTTATTGATTCGTAGTCTTGCCAAACATATCACAATAAATATTACGCTATTTATATGTAAGTCAGTATTCAACCATAAAAACCAAACAATTGTTTTGGGAAAGAGAACGATCACATTGAGGCAGTTAAAAGGAAGAACGGGGAACGATTTCCGGGGCACATTGATCAGCAAGAATTCGACTGATCAATCGTTGGATGGACATCACTATTCGGTTAAGAAGCTGACCATCCAGCCAGTGGAACGGAACTCGGAAATTGTCAATTTAAAAGGGGTGGAATAAGCCGATTGGTTACAGTGATCGGGTGACGCAACACTCGGGCTGTATATTGACGAGACCAACGGTGCTGTCGCAACTATGGATGCTCCAAAGTGGGCTGTAAAGCCGCTCGAAATCTCCTATCCAGCAAAGGATGAATGCCATGCAAAGATTACTGGTATGTTTTCAATGTTTTTTCAAGCTGCTCCACGTTACTCGCTACTGAACAACAGGGTATTCCAGATTGTGTTTTCATCTTTGACGATGCGTTCGTTAATCGGAGGGCTTTGAACATATACATAACTTGCCTGAGGACAGACTGTGTGCCAAACAAATCATGGTATAATGATCTTTATAAAAAGAAAAGCGTTCCATGATTGGCTTGTGGTCTGAATACTGCCAGGTTACCCGGGCCAAGGCAGGTGAATTTTCTTGAGAAATTCACCACCGGAGCTTTCGGCTAGCCAGAACTGTTCACTACTCTGTGCTATACATCGTACGCAAAAATCCCTCAGATTTAACAACTACACCTTTTCTCATCACGCTTTAGCCAAAACCCGCAATGCTTTAGCCAAAACCCATAATCCTCTAGCCTTGACCTACATTCCCTTAGCCAAAACCAGCAATGCTCTAGCCAAAACCCATAGTCCTTTAGCCTCAAAGTACAAAATTCAGCCACGACGCAGTAGGTGAGTCAAATCAAAACATATCGGAATATTCTGAAGTCAATGAATGTTGAAAAAAGTTATTTTCTATCAATTTTGATGCTGCAAATCTTGATAAAGAAATGAGAAGGTGTGAGGATTGCATGCTGCCACACATGTGGATGGGAGAAGGTTTAAACGATGTGCCCGTATCGTCAAATCATTTGACATATCTCGTACAGCTTCACTGTTTCTCTATAACATGCGATATTCTTAGGAGTAAAAATCTCGAGTGCAACTTAAACAGTATATTGTTTTGCATTCACAAGCCCTGAAATAAATGAAAAGCTATATGCTTGCCATTTCGTATATCCACTTAAAGTGTACTCTGTTTTTGACATATGGATACATTAAAAGGTCGAGGATAATAAACTCTGTTCATACATACCTCTTTAGAACACCGTTTCCCAAGACGCTATAAACAAGAATCCGTAATAATTAGGCCTCAATCCTGGTAATTATGACATAAGTTGCACCGTTGATAAACTGATGAAATGAGGGCGCACTTTACGAACGCTTTATTATCCTCAGCACGTATGCAAAACAATGTATCGTTTAAGTTGTACTTGAGATTTTTACTCCTAAGAATATCGCATGTTATAGAGAAACAGTGAAGCTGTACGAGATATGTC